CCTACAAGAAGATTGCCGAGAAGTTGCCACCGAGAAGTTGCCACCCTGGGGGGTCGTTGGGGACTGAGGCTTGTAGAGGTGAACGGAACAGATTGTTGGAATGTCACAGACTATGCCAAGAGATGTTGTTCTGATCCCCAAAGCAAAGACAAAGGGGTTTTAAACCAGATACGCGTGTGACGCAGGTGGCCTTGTGTTCGGCACTGGTGACTGAAGTGTGGAAAGCAGTTTTATGGAGTCAGAGTGGGTGTAGTCTGATTGTTTGGAGGCCACTGTTGCCATCCATGGGAGAGACAGCAGGTTAGGGTGGGAGTAGGGGTGGAGCTAGAGTTGGGCAGCTGACTAGAAAGACACACAAAGGTAAATGAACAGGATTTGGTGATGTTGAATATAGTTTGTGAGACAGGTTTCAGAATTGTTGGACTGAATGTACAGTGAAAGAACTCATTCTGGGATTGTTAGACCAGGGCTGAGGTTTTCTTTTGGGGAATGTCGACTTTAAGTTGAAAGTATCTTTGAGTCACAAAAGAAGTGACGTTACCAGTTTAGGTCTCTAATGAGAGCATAGTGTGTCTATTAGTTCAACAGAAAAAAAAAAAAAATAGACACCACGGGTTTCTTCCTGGGGCTTTCACAGCTGTGTCATGCATGAGAGCAAGGAACCACATAAACCCATAGAAAGTTTTGTTTATTTGTTTCACAAATGAGCACGTTTGTTTTTACAGGAAAGTAGTTAGCTTTCTATTGATTTTTATTTTTTTTATTGCAAATGTGGAAGGGTTCTGGAAGTAGCAGAAGGCTAGTGTGTCTTTATTTTGCTATGATTCCTATGTATACTTCTCATGGTGGGAACTTACCACTTATTAGACTAGCCTGCTATTGAAGGAGAGTGATTGGAAGTTAAAATTCAGCAAACTCTAGCTAGAAATATGATCTCTACTCTGTTAGAGATGGCCACCAGAGAGCTTTTAAAAGTTCTCTTCAGATCAGATTGCATTCAGGTTATAGACCAGAATTGGGGGAGCAGGGAGAGGAAGGGTGGCAATAAGGGTGCTAGTTAAAGAAAACTCATGGGGGCCTGGAGAGATGCCTCAGAGGTTAAGAGCACTGACTGATCTTCCAGAGGTCCTGAGTTCAATTCCCAGAAACCACATGGTGGCTCACAACCACCCATTATGAGATCTGGTGCTCTCTTCTGGCCTGCAGGCATACGTGGAGGCCGAATGTTGTATTCATAATAAATAAATTAATCTTTAAAAAAAAGAAAAGAAAACACATGGGATGATGATTCTAGAAACTGTTTAGGCTACATACAGTGACTCCTGATAGTCATTCCAGCGCTTGAGAGACTGAGGCAGGAGAATTGCTGAGGATTCAAGGTTGGTCTGGACCCCAGTGTAAGACTTTGTTTCCAGAAAAGGTTTTTTTCTCTGCTTGTTCTCCCTCTCCCTAGCTCAAGCTGATTTGGAATTCATTATGTAGGTTGGGCTGGTCTTGAACTCACAATCCTCCTGCCTCAGCCTCCCAACTGCTGAAATTCCTGACCTACGCCATCATGATCAGCTATGGTTTGTTTTCTTAAAAGGCTGCAATTGTAATTCCTTGAGAACCTTTGGGAAACATTTATTCTGTTGTTAGATGTTCAGTTTTGGTTTGGTTTTGCTTCAATGCTCAGAGAACCATTTGGATAATGATGTTTTTGCTGTTGTTTTGAAAATTTTTGTGTTTATATTTTGTCTGTATATCCTGTCTGTGTGTATATGTGTGTGGGCCATGGCACAAGGACAGAACACAGAGGACAACTCATGGGAGTTGGTTCTCTCCTTCCACCATGTAGATCTCAGGGACTGAATTTCGGATGACAGATTTGGTGGCAAGCCCCTTTACCTGCTTGCCAATCTGCTAGATTGTCTGGCCAGTGATCCCCAGGTGTCCCATGCCAACAGTGGGATTACAGGTGCTCCAGGGTCTTATGTGGGTGCTGGGGACTGATTCATGCCCCATGTTTGCCAGCAAGCATTTACCAAGTGAGCCATCTCCTCAGCCCTTCTTCTTCACATGAGAGATTTGATGGTTGATATGTTCTTGTGATCAGTTGTATATTTATTGAGTTCATGCTACATGGAAGGCATCTTAAGCTACGGAGACTCCCCTCCCATGGTGATAGAGAGGTGTAAATGAATTAATAAGCTCGTGTTTATGTGAAGGCTGTTTTAATGGCTATGCAGTAAAACTAATGTTTTATTCCTATGACAGAACAAACCGAGTACGTCTTTGGCTGTCATCCTTTAACACAGAGGTCAATATTTTCAGTTTTCACCTTTGCAAGCCTTGGGCATATGAAGCCCAGGAGTCTGGCTTGGTTTTCCTTCACAGCCCTCAATCTCAGAAGCCAAGGTAACTGATGTGGTGACGATACTATTCATTCCATTCCCCGTGGACACACAAAGTTATAACTTGGCTCCAATTTGAGTAAAAGGGGGAGCCAAGACTAGTTTTGCCTTTTGAGTCAGACAGACATCAAATGACTTGGATTTTCATTCTCACTGATTTCGTTTGCAAAGTGCCCTTGAATGTCAGGTGTGGGCAGAGAAGCCACAGGAGGACTCCCTCCTGCAAAGCGGGGAGGATGACACTGTGACAACACACGCACCTTTTCTTTTCCTCTAGTTTTCATAAATGCCCAGGTGTATAAGCAAATGTCCAAGGACTACCTGTGGTATGCTCCAGGTCATCATAATCTTTATGTTTTCTATTTTGATATCTCTTCTCTCTTTTCCCCTAAATTAAATTATCTGGCCTTCTCAAGAAAAATACTTACTCTCAAAATACAGATACTAAAAAAGGCTTCATGTATGGAAATTACCAACTCTTTTGTTGTTGTTTTGGGATAGCATCTTGCTGTGTAGCCTGGCCTGGCCTAGAAATTGCTTATGTAGACCAGGCTAGTCTCCAATTCACCAGGATCTGCCTCTGTTCCCCAAATGCTGAGTTTAAAAGTGTGCATCATTACTCCCAAGGACAACTCACTATATTTTTGGCCTTGCTTCCAGTAGTGGAATTGCAATGTTGGTTATGGTCTTTTAGTTTTCTGTCCGTCCCACAAATGAGATCATCTGTAGTCAGTATGGAAAAGAATAGGGAGTAACACACACTTTATACTACAGAGTGGTTCCAGTGGTAGAGGTTGGAGCAGTCTGACTTTTAAATAATGTTAACTGCAGAGGTCAACTTATATCATTACCTTATTGTCCAAAATGATTGCCAGTTTTCTTTGAAATATTGTGCAAAACTATTGGCTTAATTGGGGAAATATCATCTTAGATAATTTGATTGCTATAGAGATGGGTAATTAATGTCTTTAAAAAAATTTACCATTATCATTACTTCTTGAGAGTATTTTTAAATTTTTTTTTTACTTATTTACTTTATTTTTTGTATATAAGTTTTTGCCTGTATGTATATGTGTGTACCTTGTGAGTGCCTGGTGCCAGAGGAGCTAAGAAGAGGGCATCAGATTTCCTGGAAATGAAGTTACAGATGATTGTGAACTACCTCGTGGGTGCTGGGAACCAAACCAGGGTCCTCTGCAAGAGCAGCCAGTGCTCTAAACTACTGAGCCATCTCTCATGCGCACACATATATTTTTTTAAAATCTTTAAAAGAGGAACTATTTTTTTCTAGTGTTTAGAAGAATTCTCTGTGGTTCTGTCAAGGCCTAGTAATCACCCCCCCCCCAGGAATTCTATATTCTTCTTCTTATAAAAATAATTTATTATTATTTTATTTATTTGTTGGTGCCTGTGTCTCACTGATTACATGAGGACAACCTGGGAAGTCAGCTCTCTCCTTCCACCAAGTGGGTCCTAAGGACTGAACTCAGGTCCTCAGGCTTGACAACAGGTGCCCCTACCCACTGAGCCACCTCAATGGCCTCACTACATTTTTTAAATCATGATAAAATACTTATAACATAAAGTTTACCATTTTTCATTTGAAAGAGTACGAACTGTTAAGGAAACCATTACAAACAAATTAAGAAAACAGAGAAAGGGTATGCACAAACATTCCACAAAGGAGAGCTGGCAGCCAGGCTTGTTCACACAGGCCTGTCCTTCTGGCACTTGGAAGACAGAAGCAGAAGAGTTAGGAAGGAGTTCAGGGTCTCCTCTACTGCAGAGTCTATTGGAGGCCAGTTTGGGCTACATGTTTTTTTGGGGGAAGGAGAGTTAAATTGTTTGGTTTCACAAATATATTGCATATACTGACTGAAGGAGCTCATTCTGATGAGAATTGCATGGGCTAGAGATTGTTCCAGCATATAGGAGAATCGTCTCTGTATATATGTTTATAAATATATTATCACTGAGGACTGTACATACAGATAGATTTTTGTTGTTGTTGTTTCTTTCTTTGTTTTTTCAGGGACTGGAGTGATAGCTCAGCTGGCCTGAAAAGCATGAGACCTGAATTCGATCCTCTGGATTTCCTGTAAAGATGCCAAGCTTGATGGTACATTTATGGTCTAGTGCTGGTGAGGTGGGGACAAGCAAATTCCAGGAGTTTGGTGTCACACTACTTGGTGAGTCCTAGGCCAATGAGAGTTTCTGTCTGACACACACACACACACACACACACACAGTAAAATGGAAATTGTTTCAATATTTAATATTCAGTTCAGGGACTTGAGCATGCTAGGCTTTGAGCAACCCTACCCCCACAACACGATTATAAGTTGTTGGGTTTTTTGTTTTTTTTTCCCCCCCCCGAGAATCCTAAACGGGAAATATGAGGGAGTCTTGTTTGTTATAATAAATCTTGAACAATGACTTGACTGGGCTCAGGCATGGTGGTACACACCTGACATTCCAGCCTGGTGGGACCTTGTGAACTAATGACTATGCTGTAACCCTTAGGACACAAAACTCGGATGATATGACCTGTGTTTGAGCTGAAAGCCTATTTCTTGTGGTCTAGCCTTTATGGAACCAGAAAATACTACACACTACATTAGGTGGCTCACAGCTGCCCGTAACTCCAGCTACAGGAGGTCTGACACTCTCTTTTGGCCTCCTGTGTATAAGTGACATACATACACATAAGTAAAAAGAAATTCTTTTTAGAAAAAATGCTCTGGGGAATATGGAAGTAAAGTTTTTATTAACTGGTAACGTACACTTAGAGATAATCATGGGGCAGAGATGCAGATAATCAGGGGGCAGCTTGGGAAGTTTTATAAAGCGAGCATGACCCAGTAAGTACCCAAGAACAAGATATAAAACATAACCAGTCTCCTAGAAGGCTTCTTTTGCCTATTCCAGTCAGTATTCTGTAGTAATCGATAGAGCAAGCAGGCAGAAAATCAGTAAGAATATAGATGAGCTGAACAGTACCATTAACCCGCTTGATCTAATAGCAGCACTTATACAGTACTTCATTTAACTGCAGTGAACACATGCCTCAGTCACCAAGATAAATCATATTCTTGACCAAAAAAATAGTCAAATAAGCAGGAAAAAATCATATATAGCATGTTGTCACGTTTTCAGATAACAGTGGAATTAAACTATATGCCCCAAACAAGAAAGATAGCTATAAAATTCTAAAATATTAAACACATCACTAAACATCACATGAATCATAGAAATCTAGAGTGGTCAGAAGGCATAATATTTTGTCTGTTTTATCTTTCATGTCTAGCTTTGTAATCCATTGTAAATAGATTTTTATGTATGTTGTGAGTCAGGGATCACATTTTTCTTGTGACATCTGTCAAGTATGCACCAGATGAGGCACGAATGTGCCTTAGATTTCAACCCGTGAATTTCAGGGCATGACATCCAGAATATAACAAATAAAATTGAAATAATACATATTTCTCATAACTAATATGTGGTATATTGTAAGCAACTGTTTCCTAGTAAAATATAATTAATTGTATTTATTACATATATTAAAGATGGTATCTTACTAGGTAGCTCTGTCTGCCTGGGAGCTCGTGACGTAGACCAGGTTGGCTTCAAACTCCCAATGATCAGCCTGCCTTTGCCTCCTATGATTAAAGTTGTGAGCCACCATGCCTAGCTTTGCTTATTTTTGAGACAGGGTCTTGTGAAGCCCTGGCTGGCCTTGAATTCCTGATCCTGTCTGCATCTAAGTTCAAGGATACAGACACATGCCACCAGGTCCTGCCTAAAATGCAACATGTATTATTCATGCCCCAGAAAAGTGCAAAGGTGGCGGTTGGTGTGTGCATTTTATCCTGAACTGATAACTTCCTGGGACCCCCAGTATCCATAAGCACATAGATAAAAGTTTTATTGACAAACGAAAACCTCAAGTACTTGGATTGTAGAACCCAAAGCCCTCTACTGCCTCATACTTATTAAATGTCAGTTGAGTAAAGTCATGTTTATGGATAATGTCTAATGGTATGCAAGTCATCTATATTTTAGGTTAGGTTAGCAGGGAGACAGACTGAGATGGAGATTTCTTCGCAGGAAGTTTATTTGGTGATAATCCAGGGATCAGGATCATGGAAGAAGGAGGAAACAGGAATCAGCAGAGAAATTTAACTGTGAATGGATTTTTCTCCTTTGGGTTGTCAGGTTATCAGTGAGCTACAAAACAGCACTATAGCTTTTGGTTCCTTTCACTCATTAATTCACTCAGCAAATATTGCTTGAGTACTTCAAAAATATTGCATTGTGTTATTATTTTTAAATGATGGATATCCATGTGTGGGGGTGGGTTTGTGCATGTGAGTACAGTGTCAATGGAAACCAGAGGCCAGGGGAGCCAGTGGATCCCCGGAGCTGGAGTGACAGGCAGTTGTGGGTGCTGGCCCTCTGCAAGATGAGTGCATGCTCTTAACTGCTGAGCTATCTCTCCAGCTCATTGTTTGGTTACTTACTGTGCACTTTATTTTGGAATTTGCAATGATGTATAAGAAAGACTCATGGAGTTCATACTCTGAAAGTCATAGATAAGTCACTGAAATGATTAATTATAATACATAATACAATGGTTTTTTGTTGTTGTTGTTGTTGTTGCTGAGACAGGGTTTCTTTGTGTAACCCTGGCTGCCCTGGAACTCACTCTGTAGACCAGGCTGGTCTCAAACTCACAGAGATTCACATGCCGTTGTCTCTCAAGTGCTGGGATTAAAAGTGTATGCCTTTAATACAATGTTTTATTTGTATGGCTTTAAATTTGCTGGACTAAATTTATTAATTAAATATACTATGCGAGTCTAGCTAAGTTATAAACAGCAAAACTAATAGGTGGTGGAGGTGGGGAAACTGGTCTTAGAAAGTTCTTAAGATACATTATAAATACTATGCTGTTGAGTGAAAAAGCTGATCAAGGCAGCAAAAGAGAGCGTTCAGGAACTGTTGTTTGGTTATTTACTGTGCACTTTATTTTGGAATTTGCAATGATGTATAAGAGAGACTCATGGAGTTCATACTCTGAAAGTCATAGATAAGTCACTTAAACGATTAATTATAATACATAATACAATGGTTTTTTTTTTGTTGTTGTTGTTGTTGCTGAGACAGGGTTTCTTTGTGTAACCCTGGCTGCCCTGGAACTCACTCTGTAGACCAGGCTGGTCTCAAACTCACAGAGATTCACATGCCGTTGTCTCTCAAGTGCTGGGATTAAAAGTGTATGCCTTTAATACAATGTTTTATTTGTATGGCTTTAAATTTGCTGGACTAAATTTATTAATTAAATATACTATGCGAGTCTAGCTAAGTTATAAACAGCAAAACTAATAGGTGGTGGAGGTGGGGAAACTGGTCTTAGAAAGTTCTTAAGATACATTATAAATACTATGCTGTTGAGTGAAAAAGCTGATCAAGGCAGCAAAAGAGAGCGTTCAGGAACTGATGTCCATGTGTTGCTAGTGTATGGGAAAGGGAACTTTAAAATAAACACAATGGAAGATAGCTCTTTTGATGAGTGAAGGAACCAATAGATGGCTCTATGGCAATTGGCAGATTTTGAAAAAAAAAAAGAAAAAAAAAGAAAAAGAGAAACCTGATACATGAGTTTATTCTATATGTATGTGTACACATGTTCATGTCTTTGTGCGTGTACATGTGTGTCTGAGGGTATATGCACATTTGTGCCTTTGTAAGCGGAAGCCAGAGCTTGACATCAGGAATCTTCCTTAGTCACTCTCATATTATTTTTGAGACAGGATCTCTCACTGCTTGGCTAGATAGGCTCCAGGGGTCATGCACCACTGCATGCAGCTCTTGCATGGGTGCTGATCTTCATGTTTGTACAGCAAGCACTTTACTGACAGCATTTCCCCCAACCCCTATGTGTATAATCATAGGCAAGTATTTATTTATTTTTCAATACAGGATTTCCAGTTCCAGGAGAGCCAGAACTACACAGAGAAACCCTGTTTTCAAATAAACACAGTCATGCCATGTGCTACATGCTACACAGTGTAGCAGTGGGTATGTCCTGCTAGGCATGTTGGCAGTGTAGGGTTGGCAGTGACAGTTCTCCAGTAGCCTGCACAGTGTTCCTTTCAGCTAGAGGGAGATAGGCTCAGAGTGACCGTGCCTTCTCCATATTCTGCAGCCAACACAGTGATGATCACTCTTTTGTTAATCTGTTTTCCACAGCTGATTAATTTTTGCTCATTTTTTACTTCATTTATGGTATCTTTTTCAACATAGTTATCTTAAATGAGCATAGGGCTAGATCTAATAAACTGTTTTTTTTTCCTTTACATTGAAGGTTTTAGATTTAACATATTGCTTTAAAGGGGCTTCTCCATTCTAACCCATAAAATATTTTAAAAATATTCTACCCCTTTGTTCCAAGTCTTTATAATTTAGCAGATTTAACATGCTTGGGGGGGGTGATACAAGGTTTCTCTGTGTAACCTTGGCTCTCCCGGAACTCACTCTGTAGACCAGGCTTTGGGGGGGGGTGATACAAGATTTCTCTGTGTAACCTTGGCTCTCCCGGAACTCACTCTGTAGACCAGGCTGGCCTCCAATTCATAGAGATCCTCCTGTCTATATCTCCCAAGTACTGGGATTAAAAGCATGTGCCTCCAAGTGGCATGACCTTTTTAGTGTAGTTTAAAGACTGCCCCACAGGTGAGAACCCATATCTGATTCTATCAGCCATGGCAAACATCTGTGGTTGGAGGGGTCACAGGCACCAGTTGGGTGGGCATTGCTATTGTCTTGTTAAATGCATATGGTGTACCTGTCAAGTTGTTCTCTAAACTTTGTGTTTATACCCATAGGTGACTGTTGCTGTCAGCTTTGGTGGTAAAGGAAAACTGCCTGTTTGCACTTACTGCAGAGACTTTGTAAGTCTTCAATCTCTGAGAACAACTGTCCTTATTGTGACATGGTAGCTCAAAGCTCAGCCATAAATGGGAGGAGACACTCCTATATCTGTATAAACCCCTCCAAGGATTATGGAGCAAAGAGGAAGGAGGAAGGGGGTATAAAGAATGAGGGAGACTGTTGTCTATATTTCTCAGAGTTGAAGCACTCTCTCCTGGAGGTGGGACAGAGACTCCTGGAAGCTAAGGAAGCTTACAAGGCTCAGCAAGCTCATAGAAGCTGCTAGTGTCACAAGGCCCCTCCCTAAGGGTATAAAAAGCAATGCATAACTGCTAAGGAGAGACCTTTGGCTGAACTGCCAATAGGTTGGGAAGGGAACTCCAGAGATGCAGCTTTTGGGTGTCATCACCCATACTGGGGTGGGCCTTTTAGTGATGTAGCTGCTTTTGAGTCCACCCCTCCCCTGTGTTCCTGTAAGTAACCCCAATAAACTTACTGATTCAACAAGCTAGACTTGGCAGGGGTAAAGGATCCTTTCTGTGGTCTGTGTCCTCTCTGGACTGAACAAACATTTGTTCATACTGTTTCAGGAAAAGTCACACTACAAGCTAATCTTAATAAATCAAAAACCTTAAAATTAGTCAGGCAGTGATGGCATACTCCTTTAATTCCAGCACTTGGGAGGCAGAATCAGGAGGATCTCTGTGAGTTCAAGGCCAGTTTGCTCTACAAAGTGAGTTCCAGGACAGCCAGGGCTACACAGAGAAACCCTGTCTCTAAAAACTCAAAAAACAAAACAAAACATAAAACCAAACAACAACAACAAAAACTTAAAATTAATAAAGAGGGGGCTAGGGAGATGGCTCAGTGTTTAAGAGCACCAGCTGCTCTTTGAGAGGACCTGGGTTCAATTCTTGGCACCCACATGGCAACTCACCACTGTCTGTAACTTTAGCTCTAGGGGTTCCAACACCTTCACACATGCAGGCAAAACACCAAGGCAGATAAAATAAAAATAAATAAATCATTTTTTAAATTAATAAAGAAAATACCAACAAACCAATAGTTCATGGTTATATACATGCACATTGGAGGAAAAGAAATATAATGAGCAATTGGAGAGATGGTTCAGTGGTGAAGCTCATTGGCTGCTCTTCCAGAGGATCCGGGATCAATTCCTAGCACCCCCATGGAGGCTCACAACCATCTATAACTCTATAGTTACATGGGATCTGACACTCTCTTCTGGCCTCCATGGGCAATGCACACATATGGTGCACAGACATACATGTAGGCAAAACACCCACACACATACATATAAAAAACTTTGATTTTTTTTTTATTTTATGTGTATGTGTTTTGCCTGCATGTGTGTCTGTGTACCACATGCCTTCCTGGTGTTTGCAGAGATCAGAAGAGGAATCAGATCTCCTAGAACTGGAGTTATAGACAGTTACAAGTTGCCGTGTATGCTGGAAATTGAACCTAGGTCATCTCCTGCATAGTAAGGTTTCCAAAGTGAAATTCACAACTTGATACATGATAACTCTGTAACAATAAAGACAAAAGAAGTTTTCAAAAGCCAGCGGTGGGGGTGGGGACAGTTCACTGGTTTTCATAGTGACAGATAGCAAATGGTGCACTAAACAAACTGAACTAAAGATAAAAGGAAGGATAAACCCAGGTGGTGGTGGTCCAAGCCTTTAGTATCAGCACCTGGGAGGCAGGTGGATCTCTGAGTTCAAGGCCAGCCTGGTCTACAGAATGAGTTCCAGGACAGCTAGGGCAATACAGAGAAACCCTGTCTTGAAAAGCAAAACAAAACAAAATAAAAAAGGGAAAGGATATATGTAAATTCGGGAGAGGAAATAACTACGTAACTGTCACCTTCAAATAAGCTGCCATTTAATAAACATGCTCTCTGATGACTGAAAACTGAGATGTTTTACCTTCAATATCTTAACCCAGGTGTCTCTGGTTAAAAATACAGCATTCCAGAGTCCTGCTTGGGTTTGAGTGCCAGTCTTTTTTTAAAGACAGGGCTTTGCTATGTAGCCTTAGCTAGTCTGGGATTCCCATAATCATAGTAGTCCAGAGTGGCCTCAAATTTGTGGCAATCTTGCAGCCTCAGCCTTCTGAATCCTGAGACTATGGGTGTGCTTCACCATGCCTGGCTCCATTAATTTCCAGTTTTGTGATGTACTCTTCGGGTAACCATGGGCAAATTTCTTGATGTCTGAGACTTTAGATAACGTGATAAAATGAAGTGCTTAGAGAAATTTCTAATACATAGCAGGTCCCTAGTAAACATTGACTTAATTATTGTTACCTTCTAGAATTGCTGGTTAGAGGAAAGTTGTACACTGAGAACATGAGTTAAAGTTTAAGGACGACTACCCAAAGTACAGAAATAGAGGTCACACTTCCTCATCATATTGGAAGATTGGAAAAATCCTTAGTCATCCAGACTGAGACAGCTAAAGTAGTTTTTTAAAAAGGAACTGTATAAAAATAGAACTTTAAAGTATAAAGTATGGTAGTAAGCATTCATATAAGAATAGATTTAAAAAAAACACAAAGTTTTGCCCATTTGTGTAAAAGGAATATGGGAACAACAAAAGAGAAATTAAAGAGGCTGGTAAGAGAGATGTCTCTGGTGGTAAAGTGCTTGCTTGCTTGAGGACCCAAGTTTGAATCTCCAGGATTCATGTAAAATGTTGGTCACATGTCTATAATCCCAGTTCAGTGGAGGCAGGACAGGTAGGTCCTCGGAGCTTCTTGGTCAGATGGTCTGGCCAAATCAATAAGCTCCAGGGTCACCAAGTCTCCTGTCCCCCAAAACTGAGGTGGAAAATGGCTGAGGAAGACAACCAACATTGACCTATGACTTCCACATGTGTACATGCACACACACACACACACACACACACACACAAGCACACACAAGAACCTAGGCTGAAAGACATTCTCAAGCTCATATAGGAGGTTGTGAAAAATGGTTGGCAAGTCTTAACAAATATCAAATAATTACCAATACATAAATCCCATCTGCTGACTGCAATGAGCTTAGGTTAGAGGTCAAGTGTAAAAATAACTGACCTGGGCTGGGATTACCTGCCGTACATGAAGCCCTGAGCTTGATTCTGAGCATTGCAGAAAACTAAAACAAAACCCTGTCCACATCTGTCAGAGGGAGTACAAACTGGCCCAGTCACTCTGAGAAGTGATTGACCATATCAGTGGCGCTTAATATGCAAGTAACTGATGATCCTGCCATTTCCTGCCCAGGTACTGTAAGTTGGTGGCATAGCTACAATGTTACAGCAGCACCATTTACAATAGCAAACATACAATAACAAAAGAACAAAGAAACTGGCAACATTCCTTCCATGACTTACTCTGTAGCAATGATCACAAGCTATATTTACAGGCAGATGTAAGATGATGTGGCTGCATCTTACAAATGGGAAAAAGCCGTATAAAACAGCTTACATGCTGTACAGTTCTATTTGTATTAATTACAAAAGCATGCCCACCTGCATCATACAGGTTAGTGTGGCGCTTACTTCTGGGAGGGGGAGCCATGGAAGAAAGCAACAGACAGCTTTGGAGTCCGGCTGAATCCTCCTTGATCTTGGTGCTGGGGACACAGTCAAATTTCATTTTTGAAATTCAGTGAGCTACATATTTATGAGATGATCTTTCATGTACACATTCTTCGATGAAAAATTTAAATTTAGGGCAGACAAGATGGTTCATCCAATAAAGTGCTTACCATGTAGTTCTTACAACCTAGTTCAGTTCCTGGAACTCACAGTGGAAGGAGGGGAACAATCCCTGAAAGTTGTCCTCTGGCCCTCCTTCTCTCTCACACACATACCATATACACATATACGTTAACAATAATTTAAATAAAATTACAGCATTAAATTTGGAAATTTAAAAGCAGTTTGATAAAAGTGTCATGAATAAGAGCAGAGCCAAATAGAAGCTAGTAAATGTTCACAGCTGTTCACAAGATCTACAGTCAGAATTCATGGACTATAACTCTTCTGCACTGGAAAGATCAAATCCACAGTTTCCCACATGTGAGTCCGGACCATAGAGCTATGCCCTGGCAAAAAATTTCTGGTTTTGAGTGTTTACATTATGAAGAGAGAGGGCAGAAAATTAATAAGTATCCAAGTTAAGCAACAACACACCAGCAGAATAAGCCCAAAGAAAATAAAAGGAAAGAAGTAAAGATAAAAGACATTAGTGAAAGAGAAAAATAAATAAACTAGAGGTGATCAACAAGCAAGAGCACAGGCTGGTCTTTTTGGAATGACTAATAAAAATAAACAAACATCTGGTAACAATGGTTATGAAAGAAAATATAAAATAAATAAAACAATATTTAAAAAGCACATTCAGCAGAAATTTTAAAAATTATAGGCAGAGGCCACAATTGAGTTTATGCCAGCAAATGTGAAAACACAAATTATGTAGACAATGTCTTAGAAACAAACTTGTGAAAATGGAGTCAAAAAGCAGAAGAGGGATTGGAGAGATGGTTGGGGGGGAGGGGAGGGAGAGGGAGAAGGGATTGACATCTGAAGCAAGCTTGTTCCTAATTTGAACTAATAAAATAAAATAAAATAAAGAGCACTGGTTGATTTTCCAGAGGACCTTGGTTTGATCCCCAGCACCCACATGGTGGCTCATGTGCCTATAGCTCCAGTCTCTGGGCATCTAAAGTCCTCTTCTGGCCTCTTCAGACACCAGACATGTTATGTGGTGTGTAGGCATACATGCAAACAAAACACCCACACACATAAATACATAAAATTGACTTTTAAAAAAGTAATAGAGGGCTGGAGCGATGGCTCAGCGGTTAAGAGCACTGACTGCTCTTCCAGAAGTCCTGAGTTCAATTCCCGGCAACCACATGGTGGCTCACAACCACCTTGAATGAGATCTGGTGCCCTCTGCTGGCACGCAGGCAGAAGACTGTATACATTATAAATGAATACATAAATAAAATCTTATATATAAAAAAACCCATACAGTATGCAAGAAATGATTACCAGCTATCCTTTCCACCCCCCATATGAATTCTACCCATGTAAGGAGCACACAAGAACCAGGTGACTTTTCAACATTCTACAGAACACACAACAACAGATAATTACACACTCATACACACAAACAGCATGTGAAGAACGATTCCTAACCTGCTTTTATGAGCTTTGTGTTGAAACCAGAAAAAAGCACTGTGAGGTGGGAAAAGACAATAATGGACTAATTCATGCAGATAAAATGGCAAGTTGGGTTATAATCTTAGGAAGGCAAAGATCTAGCAAACTAGGGAGTTTGGGTAGTGACATAATATATTTTCTAAAAACATCCAATAAGGGTATTAAGATTATACCTGAGACCCTTGCTAGTGAGCAAAGCTGCGGGAAGAACTTAAAAAAATTATCAAAGTTTGTATTTTATTATGATTGTCTAAACAGGAAAATCTATAGTGATTA